CTCCCCTCTCCTCTCCAGCATAAACATCCCACTGTGATACTTACTGTATATACATTATGATAAATTGATTAGGATAATTCTCTCTATATACACAATGATATCTACTAATGTCCATTGTGATACCCATTGTATACTGTAAACGCCCCTAAAATATGAGTAAATTTAAGCCAAATGTCTAGATGGAAATAGATTCTATCTAATAGGAAAAAACCTTAACGGAGTAAATGAAGAAGAAGGTAGAAGTGTGAAATAATGACTCAAAGAAAGTAGAAAATCGGATTTTAACCCGCTGCCCCCTCCCGACGACCCTGTCATGCGATCGTGACAGTGTCACTGTCATTGGGCACTATAGCCAGAACTGTACCGAGAGTCCCTTCCATGATTTGGTGATTATGGTGACCCTGCCCGCTATTGTACCATCTAGCACTATTGTCGGACACTATAACCCAAATGTACCGAAAGGTTTTCTCATGTATCATCAAATTGAGCCATTTATTAGCCTTAAAGATGATGCTTGATATAATTTAAATCTCAAGGAACTAAATCACCCATTTTCTATTTACTTAATAAATACATTATCATCTTAAATGAGTGGCTCATATCAAATATCATGGATCTCACAAATGTTAGAGTTCATATTTGATTAAGGGTTATGTTATTGTGAAAAATGAAAGTTATTGTGAGAAATGTAAGAATGGATTTTCACCATTGAATCGATTTTAATTGAATATCAACACTAATGAGGTGCATCTAGATGTTTCAGATCAATTCCGTTATAAGCACAATGCCGCAATTTATAAGGTGAGGGTGAGACTAAAAGTGATCAAGGGTCTAGATCTCTTTTTATGCTTCCCGTTTTAACTCGTATTCTCAATTGATATAAAATAATATGCCAGTTAGGAATGTAGTTAGATTGGTAGGGTGTGAGTGACATTTGGTTCGCAGAATATTTTTGGATATAATTGAATCTGTTAGAGTAATTTCACTTTGAAGGAATTTGAATGAAATGTTGTCAAGTTTAACCACATGTTTGGTTGACATACATAAGAATGAAATCTGTTAAGCAATTGGAATATGTATGTTTGTTTTTATAGAATGTAGCTTTAGAATTGGAATAAAATATTGGTAAATGACCAAAATGCATTTTTTTGATTTTTTTTTACAACTAAAAATACTTTAATGAAATAATTATTTAATATGTAAAACAATATAAAATATACAACCCAAATATAACCGTAAGCCAAACGATGATGGTGGTCAGCAGTAGTTCAGATCGGTGGTGGTTCCCAGTGGTTCAGATGGTGGTCGTCAGTAGTGGTTCACATCGATAGTGATCCGCGGTGGTTTAGATCGGCGGTGGCGGCGGTGGTTCAGATAAGTGGTTGTTCAAATCGTTGGTGATCGGCGGTGTCCGACGGTGATTCAGATCAGTGGTAGTCACCGGTAGTCAGCAGTGGTTCAAATCGGTGGTGGTCCATGGTGGTTCAGATGGCGGTGCCCGACGGTGATCAGATCGGTAGTAGTTGGTGGTTTCAGATCGATTGTGGTCTGTGGTGGTTCAGACGACGATGATGGGCAGTGGTTCAAATCGGTGATAGTCCATGGTGGTTCAGATCAACAGTGGATCATATTGGTGGTGATTCAGATCGGTAGTGGTTGGCGGTGGTTCAGATGGTGGTGGTCGGCGGTGGTTCAGATCGACGATGGTCATAGGTGGTCAACGATGATCATATTGGGTTTTATGAGATTAGGGTATATTATGTTAAGGACATATTTGATATTATGAATATAAAGAATTTAATTTCATCAAAATATCATATAGTTGTTAAAGAGTGTTAAATTTATTTATTTGCAAAAGTTTTAGAATTTTGAAGATTCCTTTTATGGAAAAAAAAATGAATCAATCAAGGAAATGAAATTCAACATTCCAATTCCATAAAAAAAATTCAAAATTAGCGAACCAAACGCCCTTTATTCTCAAACGATATAAAATAATATGCCAATTAAGAATGTAGTTAAATCGGTAGAGGTGTGAACGCTGCGACTTATTCCCATTTACTTTTGCAAAACCTATTTGCAAGAAAACTTTAACTTTTTTACCGTATCCACAGTCAACAAGACAGGTAACGATTAGGATAAGTGTTATTTTATTACCTTATTTATCTAAACTTAAAGGTAAATCTTGTTTAATATGAGTGTTTTTTGATATTATATATTAATTAATTATAATTAATATACAAAATTACTTTTACCTTATTAAGACCTCTAATTACTTATAAAGCTACTTTTTAGGTTCCTAAAATAAAAAAAATAAAAAAAATTGATTATTGAAAAAGAGTAAACTCAAATTTAGTTTGATTTTGTTTTAATTTCCTTAAAAGTTCATTGATTATGGTGCGACCAGTCAAAAAGGTTACTTGATTATGGTAATAACCAGTCAAAAATAAGTAATTAAATTAAATTAAATTAATATTTTTGTTTTTTTAATAAATATATATCAATTTAAAAATAAGTATTATATTCTTAATAATAGGATTAAATATTTTTTTTATCTCTTTATTATAAATGAAAAATTGTTTTATAATTAATTAAAAAGTGTGATAATTACATATTTTATTTTAAAAGATAAAATAAATCATATTTAACTCTTACTTATAATTTGCTTGGTTGGTTTTCATCAAGTACTGTACGGATAAAAGTTGACTGTTTGGCTTAATCTATCTGTATAAATTAAAAAGACCTATTCATAAATGGAAGGAGGAGCGTGTCAAAAGTGACTATTTTGGAGAGAAAAAAAACTTGACTTTTTGTATAAAATGTCCTTTGGAAACTTATGGACTGTTTGTTTATCTCTTAATAATTCAATTAAAAGACAACTTTTGAATCGTTAAAGGTAAATCTTGTTTGGTAAAAAAAAAGTATGTCTCTTAATGGTTCTAAAAACTATCTGAATGATTATGTATCTTAGATCTCCCTTATCCATTCAGCACCCTAATTTCACTGTAACCAATTACCAAACAATTATATTTTATTTTACACTATATCATGAGAGTCTTTTAATCATTTTGCACTAAACCATTCAGTAACTCTCAAACAACTCCTTAACAAATAAACCATTTTTATATTATAAAATCATTATCAAATAGTCATGTATAATTGATTGAAAAATATTTTGTCTTTCCTAATTTTTTAATTTTTAATTTCTAAAAATATTTTGATATTTAATTAATATATTTAATTTTATTAAAAGTATAAAATTCCAAAAGGTATTAGAAAGACGGAGAAAATAATGAAAGGGGAGTCGCCGTCAATGCCGTCCTTGGCAGAAGCACTAGAATACATACACCTTTCTTTTGGTAGTAATAAATGCGACCGCCAATATCCACCGTTGGATCTCATGATTGTTTTTCGTCTTAAATCCATCCACCACCGTTAGATCTCATGATTGTTTTTGKCTCCCATCCACCAGCAGCTTCACCTATTTTAAAGCCAGCCACCGTTTCTGCTAACTCCACCAGTCGGCGCTCCCCATAAAAATTACTGCGCCACGTGCCCTCCCTTTATTTTTCGTCTTTTTAACTAATTAAAATTAAAATATTTAATTAAATACTACCAAATCTTTAGCTAACGGAACGAATACTTTTTTATTAATTTTTTTAATTAAAAAAATGGTGTAATACAAGGAATTTCTTTAAAATTATATATTATTAAAATATTTATAATTTCTTAAAATAAAAAATTAAAATCTTTAAAATAAAATACAATTAATTTCATCAGATTTTCCATTTTAAATTTTTTTTCATTAATTATATTATTTAAATATTTTATAATTTTAAATCTTAATAAATTCATTTTTGGGATAAATAAAAACTTACTTTTTTTAAAATTTTATTTTATATTTGAAGTTTTTTTTATGATTTTTTATTTTATATAATAAAATAAGAAAAATATTAAAGTATTATAGAAAATAAAAAGTTGATTTTCTCTGTTATATAAAAGTTGTTGCTTTAGCATCTTTAACGGAGGTTATTATAAGAATTCACTTTTTCAATTTTTTTCTATTAAAAATTTATAACCATTAAAAACAACACTAAAAATAACGATGTTTTGAACACTAAAGAGCATCGAAACATCTTTAATATCATAATAATAAAATAATATATAATTATAAAAATTGAATAAAGTTTTAGTTTTCAATTATAAAAGACTTATTTTATTGACCTTCAAATATAGAGACCAACATTTTTTATCTCCATTTTTCTTAGTATTTTAACTCAGTTGGAAATGAGAACACTTTCATTTTTGTGTTTTTAGTAACGAATTGGAGATAATCCAAGGGATTTCCAACTCACTAATTAATAATACGTAAAAAAAACTCGATAATGATAGTTCTTATAAAAACTTATTATATGAGTCATATATAATATAAGTCAAATAAATATTTAAATACAAACTAAAATTAATAGATATCAAAACTTCAAGATAAGAATCAAGGTTCTTGTAAAATAAATAAATAAAAATAAGGTTCCCATTCATAATGCTGGTTCTTGTAAGAAACTACACTTTTTATTTATAAACAGATGCAAAACACGATTACTTTTTTAGTGCTCGCTAAAAAGATGCAAATACGAGAACTTTTTAAAAAATAATATATTATAATATTATTTTTTAACCGTAAAATTATGGTGGAATTCGGTGCATTAGCGTTTTTATTTTATTTTTTATTAAAATTAATTTTAATGGTGTTGGGAGATGGGGGGCGGAGGAAGCATCAATGATCGTAAGCCGTCTGTTTCGTTGCAGCAATGTCTTACACTTGGCTGCACAAATGGATCTTAACAGAGTACAGTAATATATGCGCATGGTACAATCAATCAATGCACAGACGCCATTATCGAACATAAAAAAGCTTAACCAGATCGATTGCAGCAAAATTGTGATTGTAAATGGAGGAAAGTAAAATTGCAGGGATGGAGTTTTGGTGATGATGATGTATGTACAAAACGAAGGAAGATTTAACATTATCAGCGCATCAAAACATTATCAGGCTGCTTTAAATCCTAATACATTTTCGTTTTCTTCTCTAATTTTTAGGTTTGATCTGCTATGGTGATGGAAAAAAGGGGGAAACCAAGGGGCGGGGGTGGCGGAGGGGTACAAACTACATCAGGCAACTTCCGGTGGAGGAAAATTTAGATCGAGATCGAGAGCGAAGGTTTTTTCTGGCTGTGGACGATCGGAAGGATAACTGAAATTGACGACGGATGAAGAGTCGGAGTCGCTTTGAGCGCCGTTGACGACGGCGGCGCCGATTGTGAGACGAGGTGCACGAACGACGGATCCGTCCAATCTGAACATATCCAGACGGTTGCTGTGTTTACCGTTGTTGTTATTGTTGTTGTTGTTGATCTGCGAATGGTAGAGGAACAACGAATGAGCCATCGGAAAACCAACCGGGAAGTGCGAGAGGCTGAGATCGAGTGCCGAAGGTGGAAGAGGAGCGGCGGCAGCAGCAACAGCAGCAGCAGCAGCGATCGGAACCGCTGAGTTAGACGACTCAACGGTGCTGCTCTCACCGCTAGGGCTTTTCGTCACAACCTTCTTCCCACCGGCGCCGCCGCCAGCGGCGGCGGTCGGCAGAGACAATTCGGTCGATGTAGGAAAGTTCGTCTTCGCCTTATCACCCCGAAACTCACGAGCGGCGGAATCGTAAGCACGCGCCGCCTCCTCTGCAGTATCAAACGTACCTAACCACACACGGCTCTTCTTACCGGGATCCCTGATCTCAGCTGCGTAACGTCCCCATGGCCGCTTCCTTACCCCGCGATAGCGAGTCTCGGAGCCGCCATTACCGCCGCCGGCGTTGCCGTCAGGTTTCCCGCGAGGAGCCATGGTGTAAGAAATGGAGAAAGATTGGACATGAGAAAAAAGGGGATGGGATGTGGTGGGTTTTTATAGTGGATGATGAGTCGTAGAAAAAAGGGGCTCCGCACCACTCTCATGACAAAAGGCGCGTGTGGATGAAATGTTAGGCTCCTCCTCCGTGGCCTGGGCCTAATTTCAAGAGGTTTTACCACCCACCCATACTTTCCTAAATTAAAGGTGTTACAATTCACCCTCTTTTTTCACTTTACCACCTCCAACTTCCAACTTTTTCATTTTCAGACCCTAAACAAATCTCTCCTTTGACTACCGGTTTTACGGTAAAAGATCGTTTGTCGTACCTTCATGGTGGTTAGGTTACAGTTACATATTACGTCGTGTAATACCATTCATACGTAATGCAACTGCTTTATAACAAACGTATCCTTTGGTCGGTGTCGGGTATCTTTGGCGTCTTCTAACGTTAGCTGACATTTGAGGTTAGCACGTGGAACAATCTTTCCGGACGATACAAAAATGTATGGCACGTGCGTGATTACGTGGCTGGATATTAGAATGATGAAGGTTGGTTTCACGAGTTCGTTTGATAGAAGTGTGTAAGTCTATGGGCGTTAGGGGTTGTAATGTCATGTAGATGTGAAAGTAAATTTATGACGATAAAGACGGTTGGTCTTCATATGGTCGTTACTGTTAGATTTCGTATGGAAATATATGTACTTGATGTATCTTGTGTTATAATGAATGCATTCTTTTGTCGGTGTTGGTTGTTAAGACGTGGCGCGTGTGTGATTACGTGACTGGTTATTGGACCGATAAGGGTTAGTTGTGCGGAGGTGTTTCACAAGTTCATCGATAGAAGTATGTATAACCAAATAAATCAACGATTGTTAGGGATTGTAATGTCGTGTAGATGCGAAGCTAAATTTATGTCAACAGAGACGACCTACCTTAATGGTCGTTACTGTTAAGTTTCATATAGAAACGTATGTAACTGATGTTTACTTCGTGTTTATAATTAATCTATACTTTTGTCGGTGTCAGCTGCTAGACTTACAACCTCGTTATCAAGTATTTTATATTACAAGGTTAATAGACATATGAGGTTTTAACACGACGTGATCTTTCCAAACGATACCTTTCATATGCACGCGTTGATTACGTGGCTGATTGTATGAGTGATAAAGACTGGTTGTTCAAAGGTGTCTCACACGTTCATGCACAAAAGCGCATACATGTATAACCATATATCTCTACGAGCGTTAGGGCTGGTAATGTCATGTTGACGTGAAACTAAATTTACGTCGTTAGATTTGCACAAGTTCTAGTTCAGACACAATAGTCAAGTTATAAGATATGTACTTAACAACTAGAAAGTTACCTATTTAACCCTCAACCATCATAAAAACGACAAACTGAAAAAAAAAATGCTCGAAGTTATTGTAACCACTGGTTATCATATGGAAGAAAATAACCAGAATCTAATATCAGTTCGGTTTCACTGGTTTCTCCTTACACATTGTCTTACAGTTACTCGTTTATGTCTCCCATAATGTCTCGACAAACGTATTGGATTTTTTTTTTCTTTCTAAATGCAACACATATAGAAATTACGTCCTGATCTAGGCTTGCAAAATTATTGGAATTGACATATAACTATCATGAAAGACGTTAATAGAAAATATGCTTTTTAAAATATACGCATAACAAATAGCAGCATAACTAAAACTATATTAAAAAACAAAACAAATGATGACGGTAACTTTATACCTATACTCGGAATCTGATGGCAACAATTCTACCATGATTCCCGTTTTTTAAACACCTTCGTTTTTAGTTGTTATTATTTTTTTCACAGCTTCCTGACTCGTTTTTTTCTGTTACGTCCATTCTAATCGTTGTCTGTTTTATGTCATTAATAAAGAATCTACCAATGATCGTCCACTGATGTTGAAGATAAGACGAATGAGATTACCCAATGATTATTTGATCTTTTTGTCACCCAAATTCAAAGAAATATATTTTTAATGATTTAATTACATATCAGTTCAATTAAATTTGTACGTCAGTATCAAGACATGGTTAACGTATATATAATATAATAATTTATAGCACAGTGGTAAAAGCTAAAACATCACATGAACTAAGGGTTTGTTTGGTAGTGACCGGAACGATTAAGAGTTTCTCATGATATATTGTAAAATGAAATATAATTGTTTGGTAACTATTTACAATGAAATTAGGGCGCTGAATAGTTAAGGGAGGTCCAAAATACAAAATAATTATGAGAGTTTTAGAACCATTAAGAGGCAATATTTTTTTGTTGTCAAACAAAATTCACCTCTTAACGATTCAAAGATTGCCTCTTAATGAAAATATTAAGAGATAAACAGATAACCCCTAAAATGTTATATTTCATACATTTTTTTCCATCAAATTACTTATATCAACATTTAATTTCAAAAAATATAAAATATAATTAAAAAATTAAATAGTAATCAAGTTTATTAGAGCATTTAATACTAATATATTCATAATTAATGAAGAAAATCTCCATGAATGCTAATAAATCACAACATTTTTGTATTAGAAATTTGAAATAGACCTAAAAGAAATACATTAATTCCCACATTTTATTGCCTTTAAATCAAAATAAATATAATATTTAAAAGGTAAAAAATATTTATTTTCTTTTTATAATTCAAATTAAATTATATGAAATAAAACCAATTTTCACATTATGCCATTTTTATTAATTTAATTTTTAATGTTAATAATAAAATTAGAAAAATAATTCCAAAACATGTAAAAATACTATATTCCAAAGCATTATATGTGTTTTATTTTATCGACCACTCGCCTCCTCTGACAACTGACGGTCTAGGTTTGCCGAGCAAGTTGCAACCGGAACCGTCGAAGGAGGAGATAGCTTAATGAGTACTAAGTCACTATCGGAAAACGCCACTAAAAGAGCGAATAAACGTATCGAGGTTGGTGGAGAAAATTGCAACGAGAAGACGTTATTAATTTTTTTTAATTAAATAATTTTCTCAGACTTTGATGTTAAAGAAATGCATAAAAAATACAACGGACTTTACTTTATCTCCTATTTAGTAACGGTACTTTTTTTGTTATAAAAAAATTTAACCTTTTTTAATTTTATTTAAATTTTACTTGATATAATTTATCGACTTACATAATATCAATCGATGTTGATTTAATATTTTTTAACGTAATTAATAATTATAATTTAATTTAAAATTTTGACAGCCACGTAACTATTAATTATAAATTTTACCATTTATCAGTAAAAATACATAAGAAACCATAAATAATTATACAGGTATTACATTAATCTTGAAAAACAGTATTTATTATTAAACTAAAGAATAAATAGCGTTTTTCCGTCTTGTTGTTTTATGAAAGTTTCTATTTTCGTTTTTTGTACTTTTGAAATTATAATTCTCGTTTTTATGGTTTACAGTTCGTTAATGTTTTCGTTCTTATGGTTTACAATTTATTGTTATTTTTTTCACTATGATTTACAACTCATTGTTGTTTTCGTCTCTCATACTTAACAGGTAGAAGTTAGTTTGAAAACAAAAATAGCGTAAAAACAGTAATTTTAAAACACCTGAAGGACGAAAATTGAATTTTCGATAAACATTAGGGACTAAAAACGTAATTTACTTCACATTAAATAAAAAAGAGGGCTATTTACATTTTATTTTGACCAAAAAAGAAAATGTTATTAATGGATGAGGTGGTAAAGGAGCGCGTAGCTCACGCGCGGAAAGTGGCGAGTAGGCACGTGATAGCGGTGAGTTTGAAAATATTCAGCAGAGTCAATCTCAAGTTTGACTACGTGAGTAGGAGGAGTAAAGCCCACCTCCCCCTCATGACGTTGCCTCCTTAATTGTATCATACTTTTACACCTTGAACTTATATTATAATACATTTTTGGTCCTTTAATTTTCATTTCCATCAAAACATACCTTCAATTTAATGCCTATTAAAAGTTTCACTAAAAATCAAATCAAATAAGAATTAAAACATCTATATATATTATTAAAGAAAGAAGTTCAAAAAATATGATGTATACAGACATTTTCTGTATCTTAAAGAGTAAAAAACAGTTTAATAATCAAAACCAGATATTTTACCATCACCCACGTATAAGACAGTTAGAAAGAATGAGACGATCAGTGATAGTTCGATATCTATGATATACTGTTGCTAATGATTGCATTTTAATTGTGGATTTGGGGTTCTAAACCTGTCGTCGGTTACTTTAAAGAAAATTACCAAGTTGATGTTCCCGACTGACTGAACTACAATCCAAGATTGGAACCTTAACCTCTTAGGATTAAAATCGGGTGACCAACGAATAACGATCAGTTTGTCTCTACGATCGGATCCTAAATTGGTTTCGTTGCAATAAATTCCTTCATGCTTACAAAATCTGGTTGTTTTTGCTTTGAAACTAAAAACAAAAATTTCCATGTAAAACAAAATTGATTACTGTTGCTTCGAGTAACAATAATTAATCAAATTTGTAGCATATTCAAACACCCCGCTTTATATCTTCAGTGTTCATTTACGTTTGTTGTCGTCTTTTAATCGATAACTTTATTCCATAGACGATTAATTACATGTCATTTACGTTTGAAAAGTTAAAGCATCTCCAACAGCTTCTCCAAAATAGAGAAAATGAAGATTTTGAGCCAATATTTTGTTCCAAGAGTTTTATCAAAATTATCTACAAAATGAAGAAAGTAAGAGAGAGAAAATAAAAGAAATTGTTTAGTTTTCTATAATATAATGTGTTTATTCCTGGTTAAACTGGGGGAAATGAAAATGACAGGGAAAATTCATTCCCTGTCATTTTTATTTTCATTCCTCAGCATTAACCAAACAATACATGAGAATCTGTTGGAGATGCTCTTATATAAAAATGTAAAAACTATACACCAAAAGTTAAAATCAAGAAAATGTTAGATTGGATTTTTCCT